CCTGCTGAGATTATGCAAAAATCAAATTTAAATGAATAACGGATATTGGGGCATATAGGGATTTATATTAAGAATTAGAATTTTATAATCTCTCAACAAGCTACTCATTTTCTAGCTCTTCAGTAAATAACCTACTACTTTAAATAGCAAGCTTTTTTGATCTTTAAATGAGGAAAAGAATTCATTTCAAGGAGTAAGGCCTGGCTATTATTTCCACTCCACCACACACTAGTTCTGGATATTTAGAAAAGTTTCTTAATCTCTCAGATTTCCTTTTGAGAGGATATATGTACATATGTATAATCTAGCATGGTATCTAGAAACAATAATTATAGTTCTCTTCCTGTGTTCTCTAGAAAAATTGATGTTCTTATATTCCAGACCTAATCCTCTATAAATATATTTCATTTCAAGGCCACCCACTGATTCTCTTTTCTCCTATTGGATTCTTTCTCACACTGGATTCTATTTCCATTTTCTTCTCTACCAAATTTCTTGAAAAAACAGTCGACATTTGAGCCTTTACTTTTTTTTTTGAAGAGATTTTTGCTTTAGGGCACATGTACTTGCTCGAGAGAAAGGTAGAAACTGAGAAATCACCCCCCCACCCCCAGGTGTGGGGCACGGCACAGTCCCTTCTTCTCTATTCTCTTGGGGTTTTGAGAATGTGTGCACACTCATTCGGTGTGAGTTTCAAGCCACTGTGTCCAGGACTCAAACCCATGGTTAGCCACTTGGGAATCTAGAGCCATAACCATTATGCCACCTGCTGGCTTCTAACCTTTAGTGTTTTATCCTTTTATCTTTGCATTTTTACCTTTACTATTTCATATTCTCTTCAAACCACAGCAGTTTGATTTTTGCTCCTGCCCAGTGTAGAAACTCTATTTAGGTATACTTTCAGGGACAGTGCTCATGGTTGCCATGTACATCCAGCAAGCTCCCCTTTTCTTTTTCTTTGCCCTGAGTTGGCAACTTCTTTGTTATTCTTATTGCGGTGTCTTAATTTTATAAGCCATCTCTTAAGACATTTTTGTAAAAGAGGGAATGAGCATCAATTACGAATGAAAAAGAAATCTTGCTTGCTTTCTTGAGACTGATTCTTTGGCTCAGAGGATGGCTTTTATGTTTGCTAGTCTAATTCACTAACCACTATTTCTCTGCCTTTTATTTTCTTGCCTTTTTTTTTTTTTTTTTTTGGCTGAGATTTTTGTCTTAGAGTGCATGCACTCACCTGAGAGAGACACAGAGTGAGAGGGAAAGTGAGAAATCAATCCTCAGGGGGGAAAACCACGCCACAGTCCCTTCTCCTCCATTCTCCTCCCGGGATCTTGACCATGTTTGCACATGCACCCTGTGTGATTTTCAACCCAGCAGGTCCGGGACTCATACCATGGTCAGCCATGTGGGAGTCCAGTGATGGAACCATTACACCATCTGTTTGCCCCTTGTCTAAAACAAAACAAAACAAAACAAAAAACCTTTAAAAAAATAGATTTATTTGTTTGTTTCATGAGCAAGAGAGAGAGTATACATCCCTAACAGGGTCTTGATGCCATAACCCAGCTCTGTCAGCCCCAGATCATGTGCCCAGCATAATTAGGGAGGTCTCTGGTTTGAACCCCCAGCCTTTCCAGGGAAGTCTCAGTCAACCCAGAACCTTTCCATGTAGGTCTTTGTCTTGGAGAGCATCACATTTTACCTCTGTGCCGTGTTCTGGTACCTATGAAATCTACCTTCTTTTTTTTTTCCTTCTTCTTCTTCTTTAAAGTATGGCATTTATTTTAAAATACTGAAAAATTTTAGTAAGACTTTTTTGTCTACTCATCAAGATTTGAGAATTACCAAGTCTGTCACATAAGCTCTGTTCATTTTTTTCCCAGACAGAAAGAGAGAGAGCACTCCCAGCAGGGTACTGATAGCATGATCAGCCTCCAGTTTTAGAGCTAGCCCTGTATCCTAGGCATACTGTGAACAGCATACTCAGGGAGGTCTCTGGACTTAAAGCAGGAACTGGCCCATGTAGGATTGTCTCAGAGTGTTATGTTTTACTGCTGTGCCTCTGGTCCCCATTTGCTGGAATAGTTTAAATCATCCCAGATAGCATGTCATTTCTTTTGATGCAAGCATAAGGCTAGTCTTTTTAAGTATTGGTAGGCTTCTTTTCTCATTGTACATGTTCTCTGCTTAAGAAATTCCATTCATTTTTATGGCCTACACATTATCTGCAGTAAATTTCAAAGTTTATTTCATGAGAGAGATGGGGGAGAGGTTCATAGACACCTTCAATTAGGGTCTCATCCTGAGATCACCCTCATTTTCCAGCCCTCCAGAATCCCAGGCACACAGATGTGCGCCCAGCATGTACAGGTCAACCAGGTACCAAACGTACCAAATCCAACACTGCAGGACATGGTGCTGCTGCCGCACTGTTGTAGCTGGGCCCAATTTTGCAATCCATCTGTACATCTCACCTGCTAATACTGGTCAGTGTTTACACCTCCCTAGTTTACTTCTCCAGTCAGGTTATTCTGTAGTGACCAAACATGGTAAATATCTGAAATACTCTATGTCCTTTCATCTTCATGCCTACTTTCCTTAATTTTTTTTAAAAAAATTTCCTCTGTCTTTATTGCACAGTTCTTGTAGGTGTCATTTGAAGTGTTAGGGCATTTTGTCTTCTCCCTTGTCTTCAGATCTCATATTAATCCTTAGGTCCCTTCAGTCTCTATTACCTTTTTTTCCTCATACATTTCCTTTCTGTTCTGTTCCTGCTTCTGCCATTCTGAGCTTCATTGTCTTGCATCTAATACTTTCTCAGCTGTGTTTCTTTGGTATCTTCTCTCTCCAATGTAATCTTGATTTTTTTTTTTTTTAACTGCTCAGAAACACTCAGGTCTGTCATTATCCTTAAAAACAAAACTCAGGCTTTAAAAACTGATTCTGGAAAAAAACCAAAACAAAACAAAAACATAAAACTGATTCATGCCCTCAAGAACGGCAAGGATAATTTATTTTTTCCTTTTAGCTGTACTACCTTTGTGATACCTGGCAAATAGTAGGTATAATAAATGAGTGGAAAATGTGGATATTGTGCTTGAATTATTGCCTACATTCTTAAAAATAGAATTATTATTTCTGTTCTTTTACTACTTAATCTTGATGTTAAGTCTACAAACTGATTGGGAGCACTCAAGAGCCTTTTAATTGAAGTACTAAGTTTATTAAAATTAATTCTATTTTAAAGAAGCTTGGTTGTTTTTTCTTCCTAAAAATGAAGTGACTGCCCATTGTTAGAGCCAGACAACAGTTATATACTATGTTGTTATTACTGTGTATATGCCAGTTTTTCTGACATCATACATTATAATTTTTATTACTTTAGATTACAGGAAACTTGATTCTATGAAATTTTACTAGTTATATTTGTGAGTACTGCTAGAATGATACATTTTATACACATAATAATCCTGACACTGATGCGCTTATTAATAACAGTTTTTTAATTCTGCTTTAGGACCAATTTGGACAACACATAAAGTCAGATGTGCATTTGAATTTTTATGTTTATTATGGTCCTGATCGTATTAGAGACCCAGCCTTGCTTTCAAAACAGGATATTGTTTTGACTACGTATAATATTTTAACTCATGACTATGGAGTAAGTATGTTGGTGTTTAGAGATTTTTAAAGGTTGAGTTTAAGAAAAATACTTAGGTTTCTAAAGTGTCCTAAAATTTAGGCTTTATATTCTTTGATATTTCTCTCTAAATACTTCAGAGTATATAAAAAATAGGAATTTTTTTACACTTTGCAAAAAGAGTTGTACTTCATTAGGTGCTAATTTAGGAGTGTTTTCCAGTTGCAGTTTATGAGTTTTCCAAACTCTTCTAGGAGTCTTACTTGTTTACATGTGTAATTCTAGTTGTTCAGTTAACACTTTAAAAAAAAAAAATCTTACTGTCAAAATTTTAGTCTTCTGATGAGAAAATTACTTGTATGTAAAAGAAAGTAATGTTATTAAATTTAAATAATTCTTATATCTGAAACTTTGTGTCATCATTCTTGTAATACAAGGCAGAATATTTCACTGTATTGAACTCAGCAGAGAGCTGGACTGCTTGTGCTAGAATGCTAACTCTGCTACATCCCAGCTTTAATACTTTGGGCAATATACTTAGCACTTTGTGCTTCACTTTCCTCATCTATAAAATAGGGGTAATAATGTTCATTTCATAAGCTTAATAATTTAACGATGTAGTGCCTAAAGCAGTGCCTGTCATAGAATGTTATCAAAGAATAGTAGCAACTATTACAGTTTAACTAATAACGTTAGTTACTGTTTTACTTCTCTGTTTTTTAATTTATTTGAAATATTTTCTTCAGACTAAAGGTGATAGCCCATTACATAGCATAAGGTGGCTAAGAGTGATACTGGATGAAGGACATGCCATACGAAATCCAAATGCGCAGCAGACAAAAGCTGTACTGGATCTGGAAACAGAAAGAAGATGGGTATTGACAGGTAATCATAGCGTGATATGTTTTAAAAAATTAGTTCTTGAAATAGATCATTAAGTTAGTGAGGTATCTTTATGAAATTCAAGTAGATACAAAGTCTCTCCCAAAATTAATTACAGAAGTAATTTTAAGTCAGAACATTACCAACAAGTCAAAAACACTAAATTATCATGATATAAGAACATTTGGATTATAGTTAGTATTTGGAACAAGCACTGGACTTACTCTTAAACCTTGGTGATTGAGTGCATACACTAATTCTCTAATCAGAATTTCAGTTTCTCTTGACATTCATCTTGGAGCTGTTTGCTAAGCAAGACACTTTTAGTTGAAATAAAGGAAGAGAATATGAATTTAAACTAGTTGCTTTTCCCTTGCTAGTGTTGCTGATTTAAAAACTATAAATGAGCAGGGCAAGCAGAACACTCTGGATTCCCAGATGTCTGGTTGTGGTTCGATTCCTGGACCTCGTGGCTACAAACTCATGTGTATGTGTGTGTGTATGTGTGTATGCGTGTGCACACCTAAAATCCCAGGAGAATGGAGGAGAACAGATTGTGGTGTGGCCATCCTCTGGTGTGGGGGCGGGTGATTTCTTACTTTACCTTTCACTGTCTCTCTGTCCTTGCTGGTGAGCATATGTGCCCTGTGGCAAAACCTTAAAAAAAGCAAATGTAATTGATAAGGAGAAAGTTAAATTTACTCGGTCTGTGAGCTTATGACAAGTGAGAACTGAAAATCAGAGTAGAAATGTTTTTGGAGATGTATGTATGTTTAATATAGGATTATAGCCTCAACTTGATAGTAGCGTGCCTGGTACAGGGTTCTAGTTTTCAACTGTGTCTTCTCTGATTAGGCCAGATGGATATTCTTACTGTATACTCGTTACAGAGTTGTGACAGTTTCTTATTATTTTTAGGTACTCCAATCCAGAATTCTTTAAAGGATTTGTGGTCTCTTCTTTCCTTTTTAAAACTGAAACCATTTCTTGATAGAGAATGGTGGCACAGGACAATACAGCGTCCTGTCACAATGGGAGATGAAGGAGGACTTAGGTAAGTAATTTCATAACAACTGATAGACATAAACTATAAAAAATTATTACTGTGAGCCAGTCACCACTTTTGCTATAATTTTCTTTTGATTCTTTCCAAAGAAATGTTATGGCTCAATGCCTTCAACTCTCAGAACCTTCCTTCTTACCATCTGTCTGTCCATCCTTCTGTTCTTCCATACTTCCATCTGTCTAAGCTTTCTGTTAGAGGGTGTGTGTGCTCACAGGGGAGGTGTGTGTGTTGCTGGGGGGGCGGGGGGGTAGAGAGTGGGATGGAAAATTCTGTGCCATAATCTCTTCATTTTTTCTCCTTTCTGGATTTTGGGCAAGCATGTACTCTTGCCTGGTGTGTTTCTCAAGCCACAGTTCTGGGACTTGAACAAAGGGGTTGGGCATGTAGGATCCAGCTGCTTTAACCACCACACAACGGGCTGACAAATATATAATGACCAATGGCCACCTTTCTAATTTTAACCAATCTGAAAGTAAAGGTAGAGTTCTGTGGTCATTGTATGCTGCTGTTACCTCCAAAGTCACCATTAACATAGTCAAGAGTGATAGAAGCTGTATCCTTTGAGGGTCCAGTATGCATTAAATTTTCATAAGTTACCTTTTTTTTAAGAGAGGTTTTTGCATTAGAGCACATGTGCTCACCAGAGAGACAGACAGGCAGAGAGGTGGGAGTGAGAAATCACCCCCCAGGGGGATGGTAATGCCACAATCCCTTCTTCATTCTCCTGGGATCTTAGGACACATGGACACATACCTGGCATGATCTTTCAAGCCCTTGAGTCTGGGGCTTGATCCACAATTGGCCATGTAGGAGTCCACTGATGTAACCACTTTACCATTTGCTGACCCCCATAACGATGTGATTGATGTATGGTGCCCTCACCATAAGTTTCCGAGAGAAGGTTTTATATGGTTGTTTCTGGTGGAGATACCAAAATTGAGAACATAAATTTAAACTCTGCTTGCTGATAGTCATTTTGAAAGGTGGTAGGCTAATGAGATTTGTGTTTTTTTGTCTAGAGCAGTAGTTTTTAAACAGGATTTTGGATCCATTAGGTTGTGAAATTACTACAAAGGTGATAGAAATCAGAATTAAGAAAGAAAATGAAATGAAGTAGGAGAGAGAAAATTCTGAAGTTCATCTGAGTAAATAACAGTTTTGTGAAATGTTTGTTCCTATTAAATGTATACATGTTTATGTTTGTTGGATGTAGCAGAATGTGTTTCTTAACTGTGTTATAGTGACAGAAATTTATATCCTATTTGGCTGTACTGTCCACTTGATTCCTCAGAACCAACTGAACACTAAGGAATTGTATTTGTATTTTTGATGTTAGGAAAATCCTTTTTGAAAGCAATCGTATTGTTCCTTTTCTGATATTGAGAAGGAAGTGTGAAGTTGTTGCACCTAGAAAGCTATTCTCTTTCTTCTTAGTCCCCATATCTTGTGCTTATTTTGTGTTTATCTTGTGTTTTTAAAAATTCTTTACTTACGTACCTTCGATTTTCATGTTACAGGAAGTAGGATCTTAGGCATATTTGTATTCTTACATATTTATAGTAGAGTGCCTTCCACTTAATAGATGCTTAGTATGAATTTAAGTGTTGACTACTGAGTAGTTTCGTTGGCAGGACAGTTGAGCAGTAAAAAGGATTAATGATTAGAACAGAAATGGAGGAAAGAGCTTAAGAAAAGTAAAGGCAGGAAATAAGTTGTGACACGTATTGAGACGAAGGAAAATAGTGTAGTTGTTGGTACAGTTTTCTATTAGTAGAATACTTCTGTGATGATCAGATTGCATATAGCCCCAGTAAGGGGATTTTTTTTAAAAAATGCTTTTCAAATGTTATAAGACAGTACTAAATTGAAATACTCTTTTTTTTTTGTTTTTATTGGATCAATTTAATTTGTATAGATGTAAAGTGATATAATTTTTTTGTTTTATTTTGAACTAGGCGTTTACAGTCTCTAATTAAAAATATTACACTTAGAAGAACAAAGACAAGTAAAATTAAAGGAAAACCAGTTTTGGAGCTACCAGAACGTAAAGTATTTATTCAGCACATTATACTTTCAGATGAAGAGAGAGAAATTTATCAATCTGTGAAAAATGAAGGTAGAGCTACTATTGGAAGGTAAGGAAAAAGAAAGCCATGTTAGAAAATAATTTTTTTCTTTGTTTCCCATTAACTGATTCAACATTTTTTAGATGATATGTTAGTATTTGAAGTACATTGACAGATAATTTTCTTCTGGGTGTTACATTCTTTTTTACAAATTGATAAGTGAAATGAAGGAAATATTAGGTAAATCCTTAAGAAAAAAATGAAAGATAACATAATATGGCAAGTTCAGAATTGCTAGTCAAAAAACCTTGCTTTTTTTTTTTTCATTTCTTTGTACTAGAAGTAAATTAAAAACACTGAACTCCGCCACAGTGGCTCACTAGCACTATTGCTTGGGAGCCTGGAAACCTCAAGGGAGGGCTTTGTGTTTCCTTATTCAGCTTGCCCTCCCTCCTCCTTAGTGTAAACTTGTCTGAGGAAGCTCAGATCACTGGGCATGTACCTTGTTTCAGTTTTTTGCATGGAAGAGACGTTGATTATTCCTTTAGGGCCATCTAGTTTGAAGAATTGGGCTTTGGCAGATCTGTTTGAGATCTATAGTCGTATCTCTTGACATCTTATCCTGACTTTCATTGCAGTTGGCAGCATTTCTTATATGTTGTGATTTATTATTCGAATCTCTTGATTTCATTAGTTTGCTTTTCTTTTTTCATTTCTTGTTTTGAAGTGATTTCCCTTGAAGAGAACAATACCATATTACTCTACTGTTTTAAAACAGGAAATTTTTATTGTTTACACAACTTCATAATATTTGACATTTTTGTCTCTAGGTATTTTAATGAAGGCACTGTCCTTGCACACTACGCAGATGTCTTGGGTCTTTTGCTTAGATTGCGGCAAATTTGTTGTCATACACATCTTCTTACAGATGTAGTGTCCTCCAGTGGTCCCTCAGGTAAATAAAACATATTGGTTCATACCATTCTGTTTGTTAGCTAGTTGAATCAGAATGAGGATTTTTAAATTTGGTCTAAGTGTAGTTTTATTATTTTATTCTACATTGTTTAGTGTAGGATTCAGTGGGAATATACTCAGTAATTTTCTACATGTAGGCAATGGAATTTTAATCTGGTCTTTCTAGGATTTTCAAAGGTAGATACACTTATATGAAAAGTTCAGATTGGAGCTGCCTTTTATTTTGTGTTAGTACATGCAGATCCTGCAGTTATGATGCTTTTCTATGAGGTATGTTGTGTAAATTGGATACTATTTTGGTTTCTGAATTTTTTTTAGAAATTTCAAGTTTAAACTAGCCTTTTTGCCTGCAATAGAAGATGATGAAAGACTACCCATATTGGCCAACAGAACTTTCTCTTATATAAGGTAGATTAACTTATCTAGTAATACAAATCTTGCTGTGAACTTAATTTTTTTAGCTTTTTCTGTAGGAAATGATACACCTGAAGAACTACAAAAGAAATTAATAAGGAAGATGAAGTTAATTCTGAGCTCAGGTTCAGATGAAGAATGTGCAATTTGCTTGGATTCTTTAACAGTTCCTGTGATAACACATTGTGCACATGTATTTTGTAAACCCTGTATTTGTCAAGTCATTCAGAGTGAACAGGTCAGTTTTGTTTTTTCCCTAGTTCAGTGTTTGATGACCGACCTATATTACCTTTCTTTAGTTTAGTGAGAAAACCCAAGTTCAGGCTAGTGTAAGGAGTTTTGCATGTGGATATAATGCACTTTCCATAGTTAATTATTCCATTGTTTTAATGGGTGATGACATTTATCAAAATTGAGCATTTTTTAACAAAAAAAAGATAGTTTTTTTTGGAGGTACTATTTCACTGTCGTTATCCTACTGTCACTACTGCTTAAATGTCCAATTAATAGAATGATGATGTGAGACAACTAAGGTAATTAAAGATTTTTATAGCCCTATTTTTTTTTTTATTCTTTTTTTTTTTTTTTTTTTTTTGGAGAGATTTTTCACTATAGGGCGCGTGCGCTCGCCAGACAGACAGAGAGAGACATTAGAGACAGAAAGCGAGAAATCACCCCCCAGGGGGGATGGTCACGCCGCAATCCCTTCTCCTCCATTCTCCTCTCGGGATCTTGGGCACGCACGCACACGCGCCCGGCGTGAGTTTTAAGCCACCGGGTCCGGGACGTGAACCGCGGTCGACTACGTGGGAGTCCAGCGACATAGCCATTACGCTAACTGCTGGTTCCCTATAGCCCTATTTTTAAAAGGTAAAAGGAAATACTAATTTAAATTTAGTAAAATTTTTATTTAACTCAGTGTATCTAAAGTATAAATAATTAATAAGATATGCTACATGCTTTTTTTTTTATTAGCTAAGTGTTTAAAATGTAGTGGTATTACATACTTCGCAGCACACTTCTATTTGGTTTAGCTACATTTCAAGGGCTTAATTGCCATGTGTGACTGTTGGCTCTTGTATTTGGATAAGGTACTTCTAGATTCTTTTGTGTGGTTGAATTTTTGGAAGTAGAATAATCTTTTAAGCCATCCTTCAGCTGGGTAGAATTGTTTAATTGCTAGAATTTTTTTAATTGCTAGAGGGCATACAGAGACAGGGAGAACGAACCCATAGTGGGACTTGGTCATACTGCAATTCCTTATCCTTCATTTCTCTATCCTGTCAGGATTTGAGTCCCACATGCATTCATCATGTTTTCTGCTGCCAGGACCAGGATTAGTACTAACTACCAGTCCACAGGGTTGAACCAGTGGTGTACTTGTTAATGTTTTAAGTTCTTATTGCTAGCTAAGATCATATACTTCCGTACCCTCTACCCATCCCATGTTACACATTAAGAACACTACCTCTGGAGTTTATCATGTACAGATACATCTCAGTGGCTGAATCTAATAAAAGGCTTGATTAAATTTTTGCTATTTGTGTTCCTGTTGTAAGTGTCATTCATACTTTGTTGTTTCATGTATAGCCACATGCTAAATGCCCTTTATGCAGAAAGGATATAAATGAGGACAATTTATTAGAATGTCCTCCAGAAGAATTGGCACGTGACAATGAGAGATCTGATATAGAATGGACAGCCAGTTCAAAGGTAAAGTACATTTGTACAAATGTTTGAATACTTGCTTCACATTTATATAAGGAAATACCATGCACTGAAATATATAGCATTATATAAAATAATGGTAATTTTGGTTTTGATTTTGTTATTTGAATATTCTATTGGTGACTACTGGCTATTTTTGTAAGTAGTGAATTTGAGAGAAAAGAGAAAAGGTTCTGATAATTGAAATATTTCAGTCTTAATTATTTTTTTTTAAAGTTGCCAGAGGGTGAACGCTCTTTGAGAAAGACTGGCAGTGAAAGAAAATACCACCCCCCACCACAGGGCATGGTCATTCTGCAATCCTTTCTCTGTTCCTTTATTCTTTTGGGATTTAGCGTGCATGCACACATGCTGACTGTTTCTCAAACTGCTAGGGCTGGGATTCAGACTGCTTGCTCAGTCATGTGAGATTCAACTCCCTTAACCACTAAGCCATGGGGCTAGCCCTTTATTTATTTATTTTTTTTAATTAGTAATCTCTTACTTTTTTGCTAAAGGGAAACAACCTGGCAGGATCTTTCTCTTTATTTTGGAGTAAGTTTACCTATTGAAAATGGAACCTAATATGGGTCTTAATTTTTTTTTTTCAGATTAATGCTCTAATGCATGCATTAATTGACTTAAGAAAGAAGAACCCCAACATAAAAAGTTTAGTAGTTTCTCAGTTTACAACATTCCTGTCTTTAATAGAAATACCACTCAGGTTTTTCAGCAGTATTTTTCACTTTGTATAAAATGATTTTACGTAGGAGTATTGATTGATTTCAATAGCAAACAAAAAAATAAAAAACAACTCTGTTACTGCTTTAGTTAACTTTAAGTCATTTTTAAATTAAGTTTTAGATTTTTTTTTTTTTTTTTTTTAGAAGTTTTTGCAATAGGGCACGTGAACTTGCCGGAGAGATGGAGAGACAGAAAGCGAGAAATAACCCCTTAGGTGGGATGGCCACGCTGCAGTTCCTTTTCCTCCATTCTCTTCTTGGGATCTTGGGCACAATGCACATGCACCCGGCATGAGTTTAAGCCACTGGGTCTGGGACTCGAGCCACAGTCAACTACATGGGAGTCCAGCAACATAGCCATTATGCTAACTGCTGGTCCCCAGTTTTAGTTATTTTCTATCTATAATAATATTCAGAATTGCAATGGAGAATATTACCTGGCAGCTAAGATTTTAGAGGAAAAGTCCTAAATTTTTTTTGTTGTTGTTGGAGAGGTTTTTTTTTTTTGTTTTTTTTTTTTTTTTTTTTTTTAGGGGGCATGCGCTTGTCAGAAAGGCAGAGACAGAGAGAGACAGAAAGTGAGAAATCAACCCCAGGGTGGATGGCCACGCTGCACTTCCTTCTCTTCCATTCTCCTCTTGGGATTTTGGGCACGCATGCCCATGCACCTGGTGTAAGTTTAAGCCACCAGGTCCAGGACTCAAACCGTGATTGACTACATGAGAGCTCAGCGACATAGCCATTATGCTAACTGCTGGTCCTGGAAAAGTCCTAAATTTATGGAGGGAAAAAAAATTCACTTGCTGCATGTGGAATATTAGTAAGATCTTAGTAAATATTTGTTTTTAAAAATTAGTGAAAGATTTATAATTTCTTAATTTTTTATAGTATAGAAAGTATTCCTTTGCTCTTTTTTTTTTACAATCAGATCCTCTGGATTTATTTTTACTCGTTTGGATGGTTCCATGGCCCAAAAGAAAAGAGTTGAATCAATTCAGTCTTTTCAAAATACTGAAGCAGGATCTCCGACTATAATGCTTCTGTCCCTAAAAGCCGGTGGAGTTGGTTTGAATCTTTCTGCAGCTTCCCGGGTGTTTTTAATGGATCCAGTAAGTATTTTCGTAGACATTTCAAAATTTTACTATTTCCTTCAGGAATTGTCAAAATTCTTAGACAAATTTCAGAAATAGTACAATTTAGTACATGTACATTGAAGACTTTACATATATCAGTGGAAATCCTCATAACATATCTGACATAGATACCATTATTAGTCCTATTTTACAGATGAGGAACTACAGAAAAGTAAATAATTTGTCTAATGTCACAAGGTAATAATATACAAAACCAGAATTAGAGTCTGTTAAGTACAATTATGCTTTGCTGTTATGTTTATCTTCTACGTACAGAATAAATCTCCATTTATACTGTAATGCTTTAGGGTAATGGTTTATTCAGCCAGCAGATAATTAAATCTGGTTCTGTGTGAGGGTGTGTTACTGGTCCTAGGAACCTACGAGCAAAATAGACAAAGCAGCTCGGTGCTAGCGGTCTCAAACTTTTGTGTACATAAAAATTATGTAAAATGCAAATTCTAACCTCTGTCCTTAGAGATTTAGGAGCTCTTGAATGAGACCCAGAAAGTGGCACTTTAGACATATAGGTGATTCAGGTGCAGGTGGTACAAGATATGATTTGTGAAACAAATGCTATCAATGGAATATCCTTACAGATTATAGTGCCTACTGTGGTAGTCACTTACATAGTATAGGTGTGGAAGTAGAGGGAGCTAAAAATTCACTCTGTACTTTACTCACCAAGAGTAAGCTTTTCTAAACACACAAAAGGGCTGTTTGGGCTAGAAGGACACTGGACTAATTCAGTTTCTAATTCTCACTGAGTACTATGTGGACTGATAACCAGTCCATTTTTGGCATTTAAGATTTATAGTTCAGCTTATTGCCTGAAACTTAGAAAATCATAACATGTAGAAATTTTACTGAGATAAATAAAATTAGTTATTCTGGTGAGGTAACCTGGTTGATGCATATACCTATTTCCCATGGATTTTTTTGTTTGTTTTTGTTTGTTTTTATTCCCCTCTCTGCAGCTGAGACTTAACCTTTCCAGTAAGATTATAGCCATAGTCATGTTTATGCATTCATGTGGGAATGCCATGGATAGCAGTGATCTGTCTTATTTTCTTGTTTTAGTACTGTAGATAAAGTTTTAAGTCTTCACTGGTCTTCGTATTCTATAATTACTATAAAAAAATATTGTAACAAAGTTTAAGTTATATATTAACTTACCTAATGGTAATCTCAGAAACTGAATTTTAGAATAAATTCTTAAATTATTTTGGTTCTCTTATAATCCTAGTATTCTATCAAAATAGCGTAATTACTATAAGGTAATGAGAGACTAAATTTTTTTTATCAGTGATTTTAAAAAACCTACAGAATATTTAAACATTTATAGTAAGCTTATTTTTCATTGAACATACCAAATTTTTCAATGTTTTTTTCCAAATTTTAAACAAAAGTCAGGTCCCAGAAAAATAGTAAGATTCAATCAGAAAATATTTTGCTCAGAATCTTTTACCTTTTCATGTAGCATCGTATGAGAGAGTGAGGGACAGACGGCACAGTGGTAATGCAGTGTCCTCCAGTACTGGATCCATGTGAGGGGGTCCCAGTTCACATCCTGAGGCCTCCTTTTCATGTAGGGTACATGTGCGTACACATGCATGCCTGTGATCTAGGTTGGCTATGGCTGGGGATAGATCACAATGCAAAGACACTTTTGAGAATCCCTGTCTCTGTTTCTCTGTCATGGAAGAAATAAACTTTAAAAAGAGGAAGAGTGATTTTATTTATTTCTTCAGAGAATGGTAAAAAGAGATGCACAGAAAATTAGGTACTCCCAACAGGATCTTCATACCATGATTCACCTCTAGCTGTGCTAGGATGTATGGCATGCACTGGGAGGCCTTAGGACATGAACCCTGGTCCTTCTAATGTGGTCATGATTCTGTTACTGTTGTGCTATCACATGGCCCCTAGAATGATACTGAGTGTTTATTATGAGCTTCTGATAAAGTTACTTGCTTGTGTGAATAGGAGCTATCATTTTTATATCATTGTGTAGTTAATTGGTTTTCTGGTTTCATAGTAGATGTGTATTATCAGCATGTGTCAGTGATACCTATCAGTTTTAGAAAACCACAAACTAAATAGATTCTTAAATCTAATTAGTATACTGAAAAAGAACCCAGAGCTCAAATTGTACTAATAACATAACCTTTCCTTTCCTAGATCCCAAGGAAAGTTAAAAAGAAGAAAATAGCAGTTACCCTAAGTGTAAATCATACTGTAAACTTGTCATCTGCATATGCATCTATGATTTTGTTTTTGTTTTCAGCTACTACTTAACCATGTGTTTATTTTCCCCAGAAAACCATTTTTAGCTTTAATATTCATCCATATTTTACAGTTAAAATTTAATGATTCCTATCCCAACAATTCACAATATTATTTAAAATAAAACAAAACACTTGACTGCCATCTTTCTAGGTTAAAGAACTTTATATCTTTTTTGGTTATCCTTTCCTTTTCATTGCTTCATCATTTTATTCTACACTTTAGGACAGTTTCCATTTAATGCTAGTGTTAATTAGCTAATGTTTCTTTTTTAGCTCAGTTTTGAAGTCAAAGTGATTTCAAATATAGATGCAGAAAGTTACATAAACAAAAAGCCTTAAAGAATTTTTAGGACTTTGGTGTACTTCTGAAACCTTTTTTTTTGTGTGTGAATGGAGGAAAGAGAACACAAGAGCCAGCAAAAGGGCAAAAAGCTCTTTGATAAGTAGCCTACAAATTGCTTTTCAATTCTGATATCAAATTAAGTCATTTAAGTGGATGAATAACTGTTTTCCTTCAGTTGATTGTACACAGATCCACTTTAAGATAAAAATTTAAAAAGCAGAAACGATTTAGTTAGACACAAAATACTGTAATTGGGTGCTGGCACCTATTATAAGGCCCTATATTAAGTATTAGAAGTAATAGAGTAGATTGACTAGAGGGAGAATACCTGCCTAACATTATAGTGATTGGAGCAGTAGATTTTCTTTTCTTCAGTACATTTGTTATGTCAGTATCTGAATTTTTAAAAATTTCATTAAGATGAGTGCATCGTATTGAAGTGAAAAGAGTGAATCAGAGCATTCATACTAGGGCAATAATAATGCCACTCATGTTCTTGTTAGGCCTGGAATCCTGCTGCTGAAGATCAGTGTTTTGACAGATGCCATAGACTCGGCCAAAAGCAAGAAGTTATTATCACAAAAGTGAGTTTTCAAAGTGCCTATTATAAGTTTAAGTTGATATATATATTTTAACTATACAAATAATGCATGAATGTATTATTGTAATGGCCAAAGTAGAATTATGCAGAACAAGTCATTTTTTTTGTGCACCAGTGGTTTAGTATGTGCTGTTCAAGAGCCCTTTCTTTTGTGCGTGTGGAGTGTTTTTTGTTTAAGACACAGTCTTACTGTATTGTCTTTGCTGGCTATGAGATTACTCTCCTCTTGCCTCATTCTTCAGAGTAACTGGGATCACAAGTACATGCCAGTGTGCCTGTACATCTCGCCATAAAAATTTTAAAGATAAATTAGATAGTACCTTATTATTTCACAACATAATTTCTTTCCTTAAAACTATACTTTAGAGACATAGGCAAATATTTCTTCAGGAGAAAACCAGAATTCTGGATTTAGACTTTAATAAAGACAACTATGAACTTTCTTTCAAAATAGGCTTTATAATGTCTGAGGCAGATACAAATTTATGCTTCTGTGATAGTCAAAAAAGTATTCTTCTGGCCTGGCTGCAGTGGTACAGGTGGTTGCATAGTGCTGGAGCTACATAGAAGGCTTACGTTTGGATCCTGGACCAGTCTTGGGCATGCCGAATGTGGCAGGGGGCACCAGTAATACCCAGCTAACTGGGAAGCTAGGGTGGGAGGTTCTTGTAAAGACAAGACTTATAGGAAACACCACTCTCCTCCTCTCAAAAAAAAAAAAAAAAAAAAAAAAACTTTCTAATTTGCATTTTCCTAAGACCTTGAGCCTATTTGATGTGTATTATTAACATTTTTCTGTGAATTGTTCATTTATAATTTTTGCCAGTTTTCATAGTTATAGTACAAGTGTAGTTTCATAATATAAAAGACTTCTTTCTGCATCGATTCATTTGTTCCTTATGTGTATTGGAATTGTTTGCCCCAGCTCTTGTTAGTCTTTGAACTTTGGGCTTTTTGTCATGAAAAATGGTTTAAAATTTTTATGATTTGAAGTATGTCAGTCTTTATTATATAGGTTGAGCATCCATCCAAAATCTAAAATCCATAATGCTCCAAAATTTGAAATTCTTTTGAGTGCTGATAAAACTCCACAAGTAGAAAAATACTATACCTGACCTATCAGGGTCAAAATGCCCAGTACAAAAATAATATATTACTTTCAGGCTGTATGTATAAGGTGCATATGAAACATAAATGAATTTCATGTTCAGATTTGAGTCCATCCCTAAGATAGCTCATTACGAAAATGCAAATAATTCAAAATTTGAAACACTTCTGTCCTACGCATTTTAGTTGAGGGATTTTCTTTTCTTTTTTTTTTTTCACTGTTATAATAACTAATCTATCTTGCATTTTACAGAAGTCTATAAACAGTTTTTAAAAAAGCACCCTCTTACCCCTTATCATGTTTCTCTGACATTTTTTAAAAGTAGGCAATAAGTATGTCAACAGCGTGAGCAATGGCTCTCGAAAGGATTTTGATGAACCAACCATTAGCCAAAGAACTTAGCAGTTTTTCTATTTTCTATTGATACCTTGTTTTTAACACAATAGCATACCATTCTGATGGTAAACCTGTTCAGCCAAATCTCCACAAGACACTGCAAAATCAGTAGCTTTGGCATGGAACTGTGCTCACTTGCCTGAGAGAGCCTGGAGCTGGTCCTGATACTGGCAACAGAGCATCAAGAATGACAAATTTCGCCCTGTAAGAAATAGTCGAATATCCTGCAGGATTGTGTCCAGTGATCAGCGTGTGTGACAAGTGACATGTTCCTTGATAAATCTTCTCAAGACATTTTCTATCTATTTCTGTTAGAATCTTCCTTTGATTACTAGTTGGTTATTACCATCTATAGAATCACATGTACCCAGTTCAACCAATAAAAATGCAAGGAATGTTTGGGTTAATGGTGTAACAGTTTACAGATACCTGTAAAGTTGACAAAAGTTTCCTTGGTTCTTACTCGGACAACTTGTGGAGGTTTCATGCCATTTCTTTTTCTCTCCAGCAACCATATTGAGATTCTTTTCCCCAGGATGTTAAAACACTCCATTCAGTAGCTCCTCACATGTGTAGTCTCTTTCTGAGCCTACCTAAGCAGGGCCTGTCTGGTTACTCAGTGAGATATCGTTATCTTTTTTGCTGTCTTCATCTTCTAAAGCCTCAGCTTTCTTTAGTATTTCATTCTCATCTGGGAACTTAAATTCTTTCTCTTTTTTATTGCCAAGCATAATGTCAAGGTCATCCTGTGGTTCTGCCATTTCTTAAACATCACTTTCAACCTTAAGATCCTTTACACCTTCTTCAGCTTCATCAATATCAAATCTTTTTGTTTTGTTTTCTTCTTTTTCTTTTGATTAAAGAAGTTCAAGTCATCAAAATCATCAGAAGAATCTTTTTTCCTACTTGCTTTTGTATCTTTGTCCTCAGTTAGCTCTGGTTCCACTTCCTTTGGTTCTGAGGTCTGGGCTTCTTCTGTCTGGGCATCCCCTTCTTCATCTAACATAAAAGCAGCCTTCTTTTTCTTCTTGCTTGTAGTAGTATCAAAAATCATCTTTTCCCGGGAACCAGCAGTTAGCGTAATGGCTATGTCGCTGGATTCCCACGTAGTTGACCGGGGTTCGCGTCCCGGACCCGGTGGCTTAGAACTCACGCCAGGCATGTGTGCCTGCATGCCCAAGATCCCGAAAGGAGAATGGAGGAGAAGGGATTGCAGCGTGACCATCCCCCCTGGGGGGTGATTTCTCGCTTTCTGTCTCTGTCTCTCTCTGTCAGGCTGGTGAGCGCACGTGCCCTATTGCGAAAACCTCTCAAAAAAAAAAAAAAAGAAAAATCATCTTGTCTCTGGACATGGGTACAGCTTGAGTGGGTTCTGCATGGATGGGATGTCACATGGGTCAGCCCCAGGGCCCTGTGCCAGGATCCACCACCACCACACTAGGCAGATGAGGGATTTTCAACATTGCAATTCTAGATTTTAAGGTTTTGCTTAGGACAAAATTTTAAAGCTGTTTTTCTATATTATGATTCTTTTGGAAGATTTCCTTTTGTGTTTTGTTTATGGTTTCTGATATGGCCCTACTTTATTTTTTCAAATGAAGAACCATTCATTGGCAAAGTCCATCTTTTTTAAAAATATGAAATGTCACTTTTATCATAAATTAATTCATATGTATTATGTGATCCCTTTTTTATTTCATTTTTAAATTTTTGCCATAGGGCACTTTCGCTCACCAGAGACAGAATGAAAGGAGATATCACCCCTCCCCCCAGGGGTGATGACCACACCACGGTTCTTTCTTCTTCATTCTCTTCTCAGGACTTTGGGCATGCATGCACACGCCCCAGCATATTTTTCAAGCTGCTCGTTCTGGAACTCAGAACTGCAGAGTGGACCATGTGGGATCCAGCACTTTAATCACCATGCCACCCGCTAGATCCTGAATCCTTTTTAGATTGTTCTGTTCTGTTGATATCTTTTCTTGTTCCCAGGACAATATTATTCTTAAAATAAAAACTATGGGTTTATAAAGTATGTTTTGATATCTGATAGGATAAAATGACCCCCCCCCTTTTTTAAGTAGATAATTTTATTAATGTAGTTTCTTTTGGAAATAACTTTATAAATTTTTATAATTCAAAAGACTACTCTATGTGAAAGGTATGATAAGATTTTAAATTCTGTGACCTAAGGAGGACTTAAACAATTTAACTTTTTTTTTTTTCTTTTTAAAAGTTCATTGTGAAGGACTCTGTTGAAGAAAATATGCTGAAAATACAAAACACAAAGAGAGAACTTGCAGCTGGAGCCTTTGGAACTAAAAAAACAAATGCTAATGAAACGAAACAAGCTAAAATTAACGAAATCAGAACTTTAATTGATATATAATTTGCAGAATTTTAGTAAGGTCAGTTTTATGTGTGTTTTAGAAATGAGAAAAATGTGGAGTTCTAGAAATAAGGTCTAGAGAGAGTATATAACTTCTAAAAGGGGCATACTGTTTTATATTAGTGAAGAGATATTACTGACACATAATTGCTCTTCTATATATAAACCTATTTTTAATGATACTTCAATAGCAATAAGTTCCGTTATATACTGTGGCCTAAAATAATTTTTGAGATAAAGTTACTTTGTTATTCAACTTTTCATAGTACCTATGCTGAGTATTTTCATATATCTCCCAATACTCAGCTTTTTCATATTTCAGAAAGGTCAAACCTTTTATACTTTTGACCAAATAAAGAGTTATTTTCTATGTTGAACACATTTGGTTATTTCACCAAAGCTTCTGATTTATGATGTAGTAGCTAGTCCTTGTAAACAATTAATATGTATACAGACTCTACAAAAGATTGACTGTATTAGATGTTCAAAAACCACATTACATTCCAGAGCCAAACCTTAAATGAGACCAAAGTCCAAATTAGCAAGTTACTTGCAATTTTTTATAGCTTCATTCATATACAGTTCACATAAGTGACTTGTAATTTTATATTCATTAAAACATTTACAGACTATAAGCACTATTTTCTCCATTTTAGTCAAGTGGTACTCCATTCATTGTTTAAATGTAAATTGGTGTGTTTAGGGTGTAAATACTGTCTGAGGGGTTGAGAGGAAACCGATTCTACCCAATTTGACTTGAATATTTAAATTATGGAATTGCTATATAGATATTTCTATAAGTAGATAATTTTATTTATGTAGTTTCTTTTGGACATAACTTTATAAATTTTTATAATTCAGAAGACTACTATATGTGAAAGGTGTGATATCTGGATGGAAGTTGGGCTGGATGACCTCCAAAGTCAAAGTTTCAACTCTTAAAGACATCTTAACCCTGAATGTAAAAATTTGTTATGTGGTTAGAATTGGATTTTGGAAATTCAGTAATTCATCCTTAACATCTTTCTATAGAATTTAGTCGTCTTTTTCCTTTTTTTTCCCCCGTTAATAAGCAAACCCACAATAGTTGCCACAGAATACTAGGTGACTCCTAAGTTGTGTTTAAAACAACTAGAAATTTAGTAATCAGGTTATATAGTCAGTGGTATTATTTCCTTAGCGGAAACTTTTTTGAAAAACTCCGAAGAGTTTAATTACCGTAACAAGTGAAGCTTCATGTTTATCGGTACAGACTTAAGAACATCTTTAGATTTTATTTACAGTGTTCAACTGACTTGACTGAAAGATAAAAGAAGATTGAGGCAATGTGGTATTTTAGGGCACACATATAAGGTATGGCCAAATCTCTTAACAACTCAGTCTTTCCCTCCCTGTGGCCTGTTTCTTGCTCCAAAGGAGCAGTGCAGTAGCCAGCAAGAATATTTCTAGTCCCTAGGATTCAGAACATTAAAAATAGGGAATTTCTTTATATTGTAGCTTTAGCATCACACACACACACACACACACACACACACACACAATCAGGTTAATGAGAAATCTCATATGGTATTTGGGTTCTTTACTAATACTCCAGTGAGATACGTATGTCTAGTTTTTTGGGGAAGAAAAGAAAAAACACACACACACACACACACACACACACACACACAATCAGGTTAATGAGAAATCTCATATGGTATTTGGGTTCTTTACTAATACTCCAGTGAGATACGTATGTCTAGTTTTTTGGGGAAGAAAAGAAAAAACATACAGTCTGTTCTTTTTTGCTTTCAAAGGTAATACAAACTGTAAACATAAAGACAGCTTGCTTCTTTACCCATTTATAGAGTTGTATTTTTAGACACATTCATCATAGTTTGGCAAGTCATTTTAAAAATACCTTTGTTTTCGTACATTTCTATTAAATGGTGTTAAATAAAAATTTTTTAATTTGTCTTAAAATATATAAACCACTGGAATGAAAACTTCACATTATGCTATGCTGTTAATTCTGTTTTATTATTACATAGAATAATAGCTTTAGAAACGTATTGAAAACATTGTATTCCCACTTGCAGTTCAAACTGGATTTTGTTTTAAAGTCAATAAAAATTAAAAAAACTGTTACTTTTCCTCATTGCCACAATTTTGAGTATTATCTCTTTAGAGAAATCTTCCATTAAATCATATTTCTGTGAAGATGTTTATATTACTAATTTTTTGATTGATAGTATACTTGGTAACTTATTCATATTTCCATCGTTTTTTTTTTAACCTTGCTCAGTTTAACTAGTTGAACTTTTTGTTCAGAAATCGGTGTAGGCTTAGGTCTAGTAGTGTGTACTGGTTAACTCAAAAGGCTGAGGCCTTGTGGGAGATGGGTTTGGATTCCCCTAAATAAGCGGGGAGAGGTGGCATGTAAGCCTTAGTCCCAGCTATTTGAGAACTTGAGGCACGCAGATGGAGACGTTTCAAGATCATGTCTAGAAAACAAACAAAATAAACCAGTGTATATTTAAAGTTTATTTTAAATGCCTTGATTTAAAACATTGCTTCCAATTAATTTCATCTGCAAGGAAAAAAGTTGTAATAATACATACTACATATATATATATATATATATATATATGGTATATATGCGTGGGGGGGTGGGGGGAGCTCTGGATTGTTGCATTTTCCCCTTGAAATTGTAACTCTAGGATTAGATATAGTTAAAATAATCTTAGAGTGGATACTAATGAAATCATCCTTAGGCAGTATATGCTTTGTGTTGGAGAATGTTGAATACATTGGTGTAATTTTTCCTTGTTTTATTCATAGTACTTGCCAGGGTTCTATTCATTAGCAATTGGATGATGCTCATCAAAAAGAGACAAATTTTGTTTGAATCACGTTGAGAACTCAAATGCTTTACCTCTGGTTTTTAACATTAAGTCATCTGCAAAAAGCAATGTAAAGAGAATTACAATAAACCTTCACTTTATGCAAAAATCATAGACCTCCATCAAGCATGAAGCTAGTTCCCTAAAACATGGGTTTGACTTTTGCCATGGGCACATTTATTCTATGGCCAAAGGCTATTATATCCACCATTGTTTTTGCGGGAATAAAGTAAGATACTGATTATCTCCAGAAATGTGTGTCTTGTAAGTTGAGTTACTGCCTTTTTATATCTACTAAGTGACCCTTGGTATTTGGGGCTTTGGAAAAGATTTTGCAGTATAATTGCAGTTTTGCATGTAAGTACTTCATAATCAGGGAAAGATCAGGGAAGGAAGAGAAATGTTAGTTCAGTTTAATGAGTTTCTTCCACATCACTTGACACCTTTATACAGATTAAATGCTATTTTTTACGTTAAACTTGTCACTGGTTCTGATTCCCAAAGTAAACAGCTTTCACTGAATAAAATGTTAAAAGCATGTAAGCTTTTCTACCTTAGTGCTTTATGTCTCGTGCTGTGTAAAAAAATAGGGAATGGAAGATAGTAAATACAAAATATGAACAGTGATACGTTCGATTTCCCCCCCAAATTTGACATTATTATATCTTTTCTCAATAATAATGATAAAAAAGCTTTGAATCTTGTGATCTCTTCTAATACATTTACTTATTTGGACTACATATTACATTTGACAGAAATAAGGCAGTGCCAGTTATCTGAAGACTAGGTTTCTGTTCATCTCAGCGTGAGGACTCAGAAGCCAAAAAAGCTTCCGACTGCTAAAATTATCTTGAGGTTTTTGTACCATAGTACCTGACTATAATATAGAGGCACTTAAGTCTTTGGTAAAGGTTTCATGTATTCAAAGATCATAGCAGCTCACTCTATACTAGTCAAGTAACTCTTGTTTTCAGAAATCATAAAATATTTAATAATTTTAGGTAAGTTCTCAGTTTCTTATTGAACTTTTATTGTAGCCAGCCTCCAAGGTAGCCCTCGATCATTTTTTCCTTCAGGTATCCACACTACTGTGGAGTCATTTCCTCCCATATTAAATAGGGGTGACTTGTGTATACTATAGGATATTGTAGAATAGAAGGTGACCTTGAAGGTTAGGGCCACAAATCATTACAGCTTCTGCCCAACTCATTTCTTCCTGTCAGTCTACTCCTGATTTCTTCAATAGGATCATTTGTGATTACTCATTTTTTAAAACGTTGGTTTGCATCCTGCTTTTAAACTTGCTATTCCTTGCAACCTAAAATCATCTCTAAGTGTAATAAACATGCTTTACACTCATTCTATTGTTTTATTGGGTTGTTGAAAAAGTCATGGTGCATTTCTGCACAGAGAAAAAATATATCATAACTTTCCTGGCAGCCCAGTAAATCATGGATAGAAACCATCAGACAGTAGGTCCAAAGCTGATCCTGACATTCCTGAGAGAGATTACTATGTTTAGAGACTGACAGTGAACTCATGGTTTTAAGGCTACAATATTCTAAAGTACCTGAACATCATATAAGACGCAATGGGTGATAGACCAGATACATTTTATCTCACTTTCCTCCATCTGTCAGATCCATCACCATCACTAAGAATATTAAATGTCTTAGATACCAATTTTTAAAACATATATCACAGCATGAAGCTTTATACTTTAAACTATGATAAATTCTACAAAATGAAAAGTTGTCCAATAGTTTTTTCCAAGGGTGTGTGTAGATGGGAGGAGTGAATCCTTTAATTAAACCATTAAGATATGGTAGTAAGTCTTTATTTTTCATACAGAGTGCCACTACAGAAAACCACCAGGGAACACACTGCTATTTTCAGATATACAGAACTGAACAGAAGCAGTTAGCATGCTGCCTATACTGTACACAGAAAATGGGTGAACATCTTCAGACACTAAAAACTAGGGCGTAGAATGGGTTACCGTCATTTGCTGATATGTTCATGAATCACTCAACAGTGTTATTACAGGCTGTCTTAAAAGCAGAATTACAATCACTCTGGCAGACTCTGGGAGACTTTAAAATGCAGGTTTAGTGAGTACAACGAGCAAAGATAGGGCAGATGCCATGTCCTATCCTGAAGGGAGACCAACATGGAGCCTGGTTCTGCACATGTGAGAGTTGATACGACCATTTTAATAGCTTTGTATTAGTGATCAGCATAATTGAGAATTTTTGAAACATGAGCTAAATAAGAAGGGTTAAAATGCACACTGTCGATATAAAAGGATTGCTACTTCACAATTTTTGCTCAGTTCTCATCTGTGTCCTGCAAAAACCCCTGATGAGTTTTAGTGAAAGCCTCTAGCAACTGTAACAGACTTCTCAACCCAGGTCTAGATACTAAGAGAAACAGGTGCCCATGGAGTGGATGTGTCCGCAGGAAAATGGCAGTATTTCTACTGGAGGTAAGTGTCAAGTTTCCTCTTGATGTTGTCAAAGGAATCTGCTCCCATGTAATCAGCCTGGCCCTGCTCCCACCGCTCCTTCCGTTCTTCAGAGGATACAAAAGGTGCCGTAGCTGGGATCTCTCCAAGGGACAGGTGTGATATGGCTCCTGAGACATTTTCCTAGAAAGGAAAGAATAATCAAGACATTCCCTGAGAGCTGAAAATAAGACCATAGTAAAGAATGCAGTAAACTGAGAAAGGTTAAAAAAAATGAATTCTCATGCAAAGTAGCAAAAACTGAAAACTATTACATGAAACAAATGACACAAAATACAAGGGTCTATGATATTTTTCCTAACGAAATGAAGACTTCTTGACTCAGTGAAAACATTGGGAGAACAAAGTAATTAGGGTTAATGTTTAAGTTCTGCATACCTTTCTACAGAAGCCACAAGAGCAAGCCAGAGTATAGACCAAGTCTGAAAGCTGCAAACAGTTCATTAGAATTAGAAAGTGTAAGACGGATGGACATGGAAACACAAGTCTCAGATAAATTCTCAAGCTGTGTGGGCTCAGAAAGGTTGAGAACTTAAACAAAATGGTATCTCAGAGGCTATGTTTCAGAAACAACCAGAGAGCCACAACACATATACAAATTGTCACGTTTTAAGAAGGAAAACTAAATGAGACTTTGTGCCAAACTTAGCTGCCTGTTCAGTCTTTCATTCGGATTACCAATGAGCATTTATTCTTGTAGTTTCTATTGATGTGCTTCATTTTGAACAACTGTTTCGATTCCTATCTTTACCTTTCTTTGGTTCATAATTCTCAACCTCTGTGTTGTGGAAGAAACAGTAAATGTGCAGCAAGCAGAGCAAACATACTTTATCAGAAAGTTGATTCTCAGAATGGAGAAGGGATTGTAGTGAGTCATCCCCTCTGGGGGGTGATTTCTCACTTTTGCTTTCATTGTCTCTGTCTCTCTTTGGCGAGTGCATGTGCCATAAGGCTAAAATCTCTTAAATAAATAAAAGTTGATTCTCACAGATAAGCAATTAATTTCAAATGCACCATAAAAGGAGACCAATGACATTCTTCAAAAACTATCACAAGAAAGTACTGGAAATCTTAGGCAAGAAAAAGGAAGTTAAATGAATATAAACAGGTATCTCTTTTAACAAAATGAACAAACTTTTGATTACCTATGTTTGATGCTACCTATATGTAGGTACATATGTATGTACTTAAGTATACTGGAACCCCAAGGTGTCTGGGTACAGGGACAGCTGAGGCAGCATAAGGAAGTCCTCCTAGTCCTGACTTTGCCTTCCTCTTGCAACAGGAATGACATAGGGAGCTCTACCAGACATAGGAAGGCTCTCCTCTGCTCATAATATGGGGGCTATGGGTTTATAATGTACTGTCCCAGGGGTGAGGCCCTTGAGGTCAAGCCAAGTGTACTGGAGCTAATTTAAGACAGTTCAACATTTAAAATGTAACTCTCCTTTCTCTGCCAAAATAAATGCTGTCCTGTTATCACTCAGTATGGCTCCAGGACACCAGAGGATACCGAAATCTGCAGATGTACAAGCCCCTTACATAATATGGTGTGTATTTCACATAACCTACACATGCCCTCTCATATACTTTAAGTCATCTCTAGAATTTAAGCAATCCTAACATTAGAGATAAGTGAAAAGGAAAATTATAAACTTTGGTAACTCTTAGGGAGCCATGTCATCCTTCATTTCATAACAATTGACATGTTTGGGACACATCTGAAGATGGCTAGATCAATGGATGGATAACGGGGGTCAGGGGGAGGATGACTGTACTCAGTTCCAGGTGTAGAAGGAAAACTAAGCAAGGTCCATCTCAAATTTTCATAAGGGTAAGATTGGTTCAAACTGGTTTACATTATTCAAATGGGTTCAAAATGGTTCTGACTGGCTCAGGCCGATTTGAAATGGTTCTGACCGGATCAAACTGGTTCTTACTGGCTTAGACTGGTTCAAACTGGGTCTGAATGGTTTAAACCTGATCTGACAAATTTAGGCTGGTTTGAACTGGATCTGATTGCTTCAGACTGGTTTAAACTGCCTATGATTGGATCAGTCTGGTTCAAACTGGATCAAACTAGCTCAAGCCAGTGGTTCAAAATGGCTCAAACCAGTTCTGACTGGATCAAATTGATTCTGACTGGCTCAAACTGGTCCTGACTGCTTCTGAGTCGTTCCAACTGCCTCAAACTGGTTCTAACTCAAATCAGTTCAGACCAGCTCATACTGGTTCAAATTGGTTTAACAGGATCACACCAGTTCTGACTGGTTTAAACCAGTTCCAACTGGCTCAGACCAGTCTGGTTATGACTAGTTGAAACTGGTTCAGACTGGCTCATATCAGTCCGAACTGGTTCTGACTGGTTCAAACTGGATCTGACTGGTTTAAACCAGTTCCAACTGGCTCAGACCAGTTCGCACTGGTTCTGACTTATTCAAATGGTTCAAACTGGTTTTAACTGCTTTTGATGGCTTTAGTCTGGTTCAGATGGGATCAGATCAGCTCTGACTGGTTTAAGCCAATTCTGACAGGGTTACACCAGTTCTGACAGATTTAAACTGGTTCTGACCAGCTCAAACTGGTTCCGACTGGTTCAAACCGGTTCTGACCAACTCAAACCAGTTACGACTCACTCAAACCAGTTCTGACCAGATCAAACCAGCTCTATCTAGTTTAAACCAGTTCTGACTGAATCACACCAGTTCTGACAGACTTGAACTGGTTCTGACTAGCACAAACTGGTTCTAGCTGGATCAAACAGGCTATGACTGGTTCAAACTGGTTTTGAGTGGTTCTGACTGGTTCAAACTGGCACAGACTGGTTTTGACTGGCTCATACTAGTTTGAACTGGTTCTGACTGGTTTAAACTGGTCCTGACAGGCTTAGATTGGTTTGAACCAGATCTAACTGCTACAGACTGGCTTAAACTGCTTCTGACTAGTTCACCAGATCAAAGTAGTTCAAACCGGTGGTTCAAACTGATTACAGCCAGTTCTGATTCTGGCCGGTTCAAACCAGCTCTGACTGGTCAAACAGGTTCTGACTGGATAAAACCAGCTCTGACTGAATCACACCAGTTTTCAAAAACTTAAGCTGGTTTTAGCTGGATCAAACAGGTTTTGACTGGTTCAGACTGATTCTGACTGGCTCAAACTGGTTCTGACTGGCTCAAACCAGCTATGACTGGTTCAAACTGTTGAGACCAGTTCTGACTGGACTGGCTTGGTTTAAACCAGTTCTGACTGGTTCCAACTGGATCAAACTGGTTCTGACTGGTTTGAACTGGTTGAAACTGGTTCTCACTGGCTCACACCTGTTCAAACTGGTTTCTACTGGCTCAAAACGGTTATGACTGGTTCTTACTAGATCAAACCAGTTCAAACTTGCTGGCTTAAACTAGTTCAAACTGGTTCTGACCAGTTCAAACTGGTTCTGTTTTAGGCTGGTTTACACTGCTTCTGCCTGGTTAAGAATGGTTCAAACCAGCTTTGACTGGTTTAATCCGATTCTGACTAAACAGGTTGAAAATGGTTCTGACTGGCTCAAACAGGTTCTGACTGGTTTAAACAGGTTGAAAATGGTTCTGACTGGCTCAAACCAGTTCTGACTGGTTTAAATAGGTTGAAAATGGTTCTGACTGGCTCAAACTGGTTCTGATTGGTTCTTTCCAGCTCAGACCGATTCTGACTGGATTAAACTAACTGGTCAAAACTGGTTCTAGCCAGTTCTGACTGGCTCCCAGACCATGTCTCCAGGTGTATTGCTGGGTGCTGTATTTCTTGTGTCATGCCTGTGTGTGCCTGTACCACACATCTGAGTACCGTGTCTCCCAGTGTCACATCTTCTGGTACTATGTGGCACAGTGAGGAGAGGTGGCACATGAAGGTGTGGTGCAAGAAGACATGGCACCCAGCAATACAGTAAGATGTGGTACCAAAAGACATGCAAGTGGTGTATGACACATATTCTCACACGTGTCAAAGATGTGTTCATTTAGACAGAATAACGTGTGTTAATTTTGACACCTTTCCAATTTGACAGATGTGTTCATTTTGACATACAAATGACAGGTGTTTCATTTTTGACACAAGTATCAATTGTGGCATGTGTGTACATTTTCACACATGTCCATTTTGACATCTGTGCCCATTTTTACATGCAAATGACACATCAATTTTGACACATGACCAATTTGACATGCATGTCCATTTTGCAATATAAGCAACACGAGTCGATTTTGACACATGCATCAATTTTACATGCAAATGCACATGTCCTTTGTGACACAGATGTTGATTTTGCCACAAAACAATACACGTGTTGATTTTGACATGCCGATTTTGACAAACACATGTCTTGATTTTGACACATGTACCAATTTTGACAGATGTGTTAAATTTCAGAGATGTGTCTTTTGTGACTCATGTCAATTTTGATACACGTGTCAATTTTGACACCTGTCATTTGTGACACACATGTCGATTTTGACACGTGTCATTTGTGACACATGTCGATCTTGACATGTGTCATTTGTGACATGCATGTCGATTTTGACACGCGTTTCAATTTTGACACATGTTACTTTGACACACGTGTCCATTATAAGAGTCTCATATCTAGATTTCAGTACAAATTTCTGCTACTGTTATATAACTAAGACAAATTATATAACTTCTTTATGCCTAATTTATGTATAAAAAGGGAATATTAAGAAAAAATAAAGGGAATATGAACAATAATAGTATTTGATAGAGTGGTTGTAAGGGTTAAATATGGTTAAGTTTGTGCGTGTGTGTTTTAATTGTCAGGATAAGCAGTCTTGCCAGACAGAGGGAGAAAGCTCTCCCCTTCCCTAGAAACAGTCATGCAGTGATCTCATTGTCTTCATTTCTCCATCCTGTTGGGATTGGAAGCATGCATGAACAGTGTGTTTTTCAAGCTGCTGGAATTGGATTGGAACTGCAGTCAGCCATTTGGGATCTTGCTCCCTTAACTACAGGCCCGATCCAAAAATAACTTTTTTTTCCATTGCCAAAAAGTTTATTAGCTTAATTAAAAACATTTTCTTGAGTAATAACAAAAAAAAATTTAAACCAGAAAGACTGTCAGTGGCTACACCTTATAATCAATATTTGGAATTGCATGGTTTACTGCTAGTCTTCATTTTATTAACAACAATCCATTTATTGGTTCCAAGAAGGCATGACTACTGCTTTGTCTGAGAATAAGTCCCTACTGCAATTAAGAATAAAAAATATAGTTGGAGTGTGACCTGCATTAGAGTAAAGTTGACAACCAACGTCTGCTAAGCACTTGCTATGTGCCAAGCACTGACCAAGTGCTGTACGTGTACTATGATCCATAAAATGTAGAGAGTAAGAATTTAAGTGTCACTTACTTCTCTCCTTTTTTTCTTTTTATATTTCGGCATAAATACTAAGAAGGGACATGGCTAAAATATATACCAGAGAAAAGAGAATATCTAGCAATTTCTTCAAATAATGGGGAGGTAATTAACTGGTTATTTGATTATAATTCACTCATTCCCTTCTTTGTATCTTCAATATATAACATAACAGTTAAATTCCTCAACCTCTTCCCATTCTTCCAAGAACAAACCTCAGAAGAGGACCTTTAAAGTGAGAAAAGATGTACTTAAAGTGGGTCATTACTTTAAATGTTAACATAAACTCTTCTTTGTCCGACAAATACATTTTTTTGAAGATTTTTGCTATAGGGTGCGTGCACTCACCAGAGAGAGACAAAGTGAGAAGTTACCCCCCCTCCCCCAGGGTCATGCTGTGATCCCTTCTCCATTCTCCTTGGGATTTCGGACATGTATGCACACAGCGCCTGGTGAGTTTTAAGCCTCCGGGACCTGAACCTCGGTTGACTATGTGGGCGTCCAGCAATGTAACCATTACACCATCTGCTGGGAGAAGTTTCTTTAAGATCCTATATAACCATGGGAGTACAGATATAATTGGAGTATCAAAATAATTTTATAAGTATTTATTGTTCATTCATGTTACTGTGATTTTGACTGGAAATAACTTCTAAGCAAATGCCACATATAAAATAGGCACATTTATATATTTGCAGTTTCTAAAACATTAAATGGGGCACTCTTTATACACTTCAGAATCCTTTGCAGGACAATGGGCTAAGAATTTTATGGTTACGTTATGTAGGTACATATTTTAAAACTCTCGAAACCTCTCTTATGCTCTCAGATTTGATGAAATTTGCCACACAGTTTACTTCTGCTACTACTTTGCTGGTAATATTTCACCCCTCCAGATGGTCATTGTTTTCTGTCCACAAGATCTTCTTTATCTCTGTTTCAAATACCACTAAGTGTACCCCATCTCTATAGATACACCAAGTTTTTTTTTTCTTAATGCAGCATTAAATTATCTAAAAGAAAAAACAAAAACCTACCACATTTAGGTATGAGCAGGTGTCTTTCACAAGGCCATATTGTTGAAGCAGAGGTAAAACATTCATGGTGAAGATGTCCCACCACAGGTTAAGAAACTCAGGATGAATCATGGTGGGATCATGAGACTCACTTTTGACACTTTTGGTTTTGGGATCATAAGTATAATTCCATGGTTTGATCCGTCCCAGGAAATGCACAACTTTGGCACTTGCACCAAACCTGCCAGGCAAACACAGGTTAAAATGGTTAGTAGATTCTGAGCACTGAAAAAAAGATAAGCAGGACTTAGTTCTGTCCTGCAGGAGTGGCTAGAAACTGATCTAAGTGAAATTGTGAGGCAGATACTTTCAAAATTATTCAACTGCGCATTAAATACATATAAAAATGCAAAAGCAGTGGTTCAATGTAACAACTGAAGTGCCAATCCATCATGGACAGAAAAGGCACAACCACGTGGGAAACATTCGGTATCACCTAACCCAGTCAGACTGAACATGCTCAAGCTCCCCCTGACACACACACCATAAGCTCAGCCCCGAGGCATATACCTGAAGCAATTCTTGCTCATGTGCAGCAGGGGATATCGAAATGTTCACAGCAGCAGCATTGTTTGAAATGGTCATAAACGAGACAACCCAGATGTCCATATGTAAGATTAGATGACCGCTTAGCAAGTGCACACCTCTTCTCCCAGGGGAAGTATGCTTTCCCACCTAATTTTGGACACGGTCATGTGGTGATTTGGCCAATGGAGTGTGGGCAGAAGGGACAGCCTGCCTACAGAAGCCCTGCTTGTTTCTGTTCACCCTCCCTGAGAAGTTCATGCTTCTGCCAGCAGAACATGCTCTGGGTTGCTTGCTGGTTTCAGAAGAATGAAAATCATGAAACAGATCTGGATTGAACCACTGATCTGACTCCAAACCCAGCTGAGGTTATTTACAGAGATTTTTGCTATAGGGTACGTGTACCCACCAGAGAGACAGAAAGTGAGAAATCCCCCAGGGGTATGGCCACACCTCAATCCCTTCTCCTCCAGTCTCCTCTTGGAATTTTGGGTGCACACACATACACACTTGCCCGGCATGAGTTTTAAGCCACCAGGCCTGGGATTTGAACTGCAGTCAACTATGTGGGAGTACAGCGACGTAACTATCACATCACCTGCGGGTTTTCCCTGGTGTGCTTTTCAAGCCACCAAGTGTGGGACTCAAGCCTCTGCTGGCCAGGTGGGAATCTAGCACTTTAACCACCTGCTGGCCCCTACATTTTGTCTTTTCTTTATGGATTGTTGGAAAAGTCATGATGTATTTTTCTGTGCGACAGTGTGTCATGACTTTTCCAACAATCCAATGTAATAGTCATTCTACCTGGATTAAGTCTAGCACCTCAACCACCATACTGCCTGTTGGCCCCCATATCTTCTAAAGTTTATAATTTTTAAAATGTTGGGGTGGGCATTAGCAAATGGCATTATATGTTGCTGGACTCTCACATAGTTGACCATGGTTCGAGTCTGGGACCTGGCGGCTTAAAACTCATGCTGGGAGCAGGTATGTGTGTGCCCAAAATCCTGAGGGCAGACTGAAGAAGGGACTGCAGCATGGCCATCTCCTCTGGGGGATGATTTCTCGCTTTTCTATCTCTCTGTTACTCTGTCTCTCTGGAGATCACATGTGCCCTACAGTAAAAATTTCTCTTAAAAAAAATGTTGGGGGTGACCAGGTGGTGTAGTGGTTGGGGCAGTGGATTCCACATGGTGGCTGCGGTTCAAGTCCCAGACACAGCAGCTTGAAAATCATGCTGGGCACATGTGCATGCGTACCCAAAATCCTGAGAGGAGCTGGGAGGAGAAGGGACTGCGGTGGGGCAATCCACCCTGGGAGGGGGGGGATAATTTCTCACTTTCTCTCTCTCCAGCAAGGGCTTGTGCTCTATAGAAAAAAATCGAAAAAAGAAAAACAGAAATGTTAGGGGCCTATTAAATAGTAAACTCTCAGATGATAATAACTATACTTTGGCTCAAATTCTTCATGGACATTATTAGGAAGAGTAATATTCCTATAAAGTAGATTTTACTAATGTGTTCACTGAGGATCAAAGACCCAAGTGAGTTCTCCAGGAATCTGGCACAGTTTTGCCTGTTTCACAGGCCTGACCTCTAACCATACTATGGTAAGATGCTGCCACCCCAACATGCAAGAAAAATAGAGTTGATATGTAAAGTTCCTTCCTCTTAAAGATAATTAATTCAATGGTGCATTTCTTCTGCAAATGAAGGGGATACCTGATGTCCCCAAATTTACTCTTTTAGACACATTTTTAAAGAATTATTTTACTTTTACTTATTATTAGTTTTTAGTTTGACCAGAGATAGAAAGAGAGAGAGAGAGAAAGCAAAGTGAGAAAGCAAGCTGCCAGGTCTGGGACTCGAACTGTGTTCTGCCATATGGGAGAACAACACCTTAACCACCATACCACTTGCCAGCTCCTGCACATGTATTTTACACAATTACATATAAACGTACACACTCAATGTTATCCTTAAAAGAACAGAAATTATAATGCCCAATTTGTGCACAAATAGGGCTATCAATTAAATAAACAACTGCTGAGTGTGAAGCACTCTTACAGTTCGAATGTGTCCCCCCACATTTCATGTGTTGAGTCACTGTAATGAGATTAAGAGGGTGAAAATTGTTCCACTTATGGTGCCAAAAGGTTTGGTTTTGGGGGAGCAATAAGGATTAAGGTCATTAGGGTGGGGCTCCCATGATTGGGTTCTGGTAGGTTTATAAGAAGAGAGAATGAGACCAGAACAGAGAGACTGATGGACGTGGCCTCTCCGCTCTGCTCTTACCCACACGATAGGACCAGGACTCTGTAAGACACCTACCACATGTGGCCGTGGGACCTTGGACTTCCACATCGTGAGCTGTTTTCTTAAATGACCCAATTTCAGGTATTTTCTGTTACTAGTAACAAAACAAACTAGACCAGGGCAAAGGCTCAGTGTGTGTCCAAGTAGGCAGATGAGTCATTGACATAAAAATAATGATACAGGCAAGGCAACCACTCAGGGCTACCAGGGGTAATGCAGACATTAGGCACGGAAATTCCAAAGCAATGACCACAGGTGGGATTTTGAGGAGGCTTTGTGTAGGAAATGGGGCCTGGACAATGCCTGGGAAAAATGGACAGGATTCAGGATAACTGCCTTCAACAAATGGTCTAATAGTGATGGGGTTAGCCTTCTCAGAGATCTGACACTACTGTGTTGTAGGCTGAGGCCGGAGAGGGGCAACTCATTCTAGCAATAAAAAGCCTGGGCTGGCCGTGCACTGCAGTGGTTAATGAAGCAGACCGTACATGGCCAGCCACAGTTTGAATCCTGGCTCAGACAGTTGAAAAACATGCTGTGCATGTGGACTCTAAATGCTGACAAGATGGCGAAACACAGGAAGCTACACTGCAGTGTAACCATGCATGCCCCATTGGGGGTGCTTTTTCTCTCTTTCGCAGAGGGCCGGAAGTCAGTTCCATGACACTTGCAGCTCAACAAAGTCTTTCCCTCTGATGAGCACATATGCCATCTGGAAATAAAAACAAAAAGAACCCTTAAGCCTTCAACCAGAATAGAGCACATAGGAATAAGAAGGTGTTCCCTCCACCTTCCCAGACACTCACCCCTCCTGACTCAGCTTCCCAGCCTGTAACCACAGAGCTGTCTGCTCCTCCAGTGTTAACTGACCATCAAGCCTCATCCCGTGATCTGCCTAGACCTAAGGTGAATGTCATACGCAGTCACAACATGGTACTAGCACAATTAGAGTGTGAATACAGTGGACTCTCTCTCTAACCTGCTCTGCTGACCATTCGCAAAGGATTAAACAGGAGTAATATAATAACTCACATGAGTATTCACATGTGCCAGGTGCTGGCTAGCATGTGCATGGTTTACCTCGGTTAATTTCTACAGTGACTATATGAGGGAAGCGAGGCAAGAAGAAGTTAAATAACTTGTTGAGTATCACATGGCTGATGAGTGGCAGGGCTGGGCACCAAGGCAGTCTGACTTTAGAGCCAAGGTTCTCAACCATGACTAGGCAGTTATTGTAAGTCAATCCCAGAATTATAAGGGTGCTGTCAGAGAGGGACATTTGGTAATCCATGGATTAACTTCATGTCTGTGACAGTCAATCTGAGAGTGGGAAAGGTAGGCCTGAGAGCCCTGGGAATACCCCATGTGCAGTCGAGGACCTACCAAGAGATAATAAACGCTGGGAATGAAAATTACGAAGCAAGCAACTCAGCACAAACAGTCTAGAGAAAGACTATTCTTAGAAGGATGCAGTCTGCACAAAGATTTGGAATGAAGGGGAAGGAGGAGAACAAGAAGTGGGTGGTGCTTCTCAGGACCACTGTGACTCACGAGTAGACTGTGCTGGACATGTCTGGGCCTCCCCAGCTACTCTCCAGCACCTCACTCTGTGAACCAGAACTCGAGCTCATGTAGAGATGGGGACAATGACCTCAGTGAGCTGCACCTGAGACAGCCAGTCCTCTGCTGCAGTAGGCAGTGTACGCCTCCGCCTCTGGCTCTGTCTATGCCCCAGTGTGGCACAGGTTCTCCCCACACCTAGTCCAGGCCCTCTGAAACCTCCCTGGATATCGGCATCATGCTGTCAGAGACCTTCCCATGTGGCCCATGGCCTTCCTCTTGAAAATCAACAGGACGTTGCGTGCCCAAGATCCCGAGAGGAGAATGGAGGAGAAGGGATTGCGGCGTGACCATCCCCCCTGGGGGGTGATTTCTTGCTTTCTGTCTCTATGTCTCTCTCTGTCTGTCTGGCGAGTGCATGAGCCCTGTAGAGGCCCTCTGAAACCTCCCTGGATATCGGCATCATGCTGTCAGAGACCTTCCCATGTGGCCCATGGCCTTCCTCTTGAAAATCAACAGGACGTTGCGTGCCCAAGATCCCGAGAGGAGAATGGAGGAGAAGGGATTGCGGCGTGACCATCCCCCCTGGGGGGTGATTTCTTGCTTTCTGTCTCTATGTCTCTCTCTGTCTGTCTGGCGAGTGCATGAGCCCTGTAGCGAAAACCTCTAAAAAAAAAAAAAATCAACAGGACGCCATTTGCAGACAGTCTACCCACTGTCATGTCATGGTGGCTAGGTCTTGGGCTCCACCTTCATAAATGTGTGGCACTGAGTGTCTCTT